GAGGTTGCGGTGAGCCGAGATCGCACCATTGCACTCCAGCCTGGGTAACGTGAGTGAAACTCCGTCTCAAAAAAAAAAAAGAGAGAGAGCAACTTTCTGGGCTTTCAGCAAATCACATCATATAGGAAGCCTGGTAAGATAAATAGTATATATTTTTAAAAGGAAATTTTTCTAATATGTCTTTGCCTCACTGAAGTACTTCATAATGTTAACTCAGAATTAGTCACTGTGGTTTCTCATGCTGTTATCTATGTCAAAAATTTAAAGGGCCTGCCACCCGCTATTCCAAAAACACCCTTACTAATTTGACCCAAGAGAACACCCTGGGCAATGGTTTCTGTTTATCTCCAAAATGATAAAGAGAAAAGTAAAAGGCAGTAGAGGGAAGGAGCAGTTTTTGTTTTGCAAAGGTCAAGTTCTTTCTGCATGATGTTTTTTGAAGCCATTTCTTTTCAAAACCTAGATCCACTCCTTGAAAATGGAAATCTGATTTTCACCTTTTAATAAAGCAATTTCCATTTATCCTACCTCTTAAAATTCTGAGTAAAAACCAAAGCAACAACTTTTGCAACACATACAAACAATAATTCTAAGAATAAAGTTTAACAAAGCACTAAAAATTCAGACACAAATTTGGGGCTTTAATAAAAGATGTAAAGTTCCATTTTAACACTTACCCACTCCTCGACATTGGGGGGCTGCTCATCATAAACGGGTTCCTTGTCCCACAAAATATTGGACTTGTCATACCTGTTCATCTTTCTTCGAGTTTTCACAGCAAAGAAAATTATTAAAGCAAAAGCCACAATAATCATGAATCCCAGTACAATGGCAATGGCCTAAAAAGAGGTGAAAAATATTGGCATAATCAGATTTTAATTGCTTCATCACAATCCACCCTCTACATATTATTAAAACTACCTAAGGCCCCACTAAATCCATGTGGTTTAACTGATAAAAAACTGAAGGAAATAATTACATTTTAGACATACCATAAAACCTAAACCACAGTAACTGGGCTAAGGCCAGCAAATATGTACACACACACATACACACACACACAAACACACACACACACACACACACACACACACACACACCTTGATTCAATCTTCAGAAAATGTCTAATGTTAGAAACTATCATTCATCACCCCCACTTTAGAGCTGTAGAAAACTGGTTCCAAAGCTTGTGTACCTACGGGCCACAGTTTTATAAACAGATGAGAACAGCCAGTAAAGTAACTCAATCATTGGTATATTTCTAAAGGGCCTGAAAAATGCTATTCTCAAAAGTATCAACATCTTTCAAAGAGCCAATCATGCTTGTAATCTTGTTCAAAACACATGTTTTGTAAGCCTTTTTACACTGAATGTAAATTTCAGTCCACAGATACCTTTCTTACCAAAAATGAAGCTATGGATCTAATCCATCTATAAATAGCAAATTGACAGAATCATTTGGTCTGGCAGGTTTCTCTGTTTTAGGAGTCTTGCATACTTACTAGAAAGGGCCCTGTGACAAACTTCTTACTCTTGACAGTTCTCCCAGCGGTGACAGAATATTAAATGATATACTGGCCTGGGAGGCACATGAAGTTGAGGCAAGTACCAGGCCTCTGTCCTGGATGTCTGCTAATGGGAACAAGAGGCTCTCCTTCCAGCTGTCTGACAGTGACATCATTTTTCAAAGACTACAGATTTCAAGTAGTAAGAGAACTAAGAGGGATGAGGGTGTCGTACTACACGAGTACCAACCCTCAGTCCCCATCTACCATGGACATGTCTAAATGGCAATAACAAGCATTGTGAAAACTACATCTGCAGGTAAAGCCTTCAGTCTTCAGAATAATGGTAGACAGATACTAGAGGTCTAACTCCAAAGGAGTGACTCATTCAGGAATGGGAATTCCTGAATCAGTGTAAGAAGAAAAAAGGAAAAACAAGGGAAAAAGGAGTAGCAACTCAGAAATGTTTCAGATGTTAATATAATCAGGATGACTCATGGTTACTAAGGTAGGTTTCTCAACCCCAACCTGCACATTTGAAATCACTTGCATAGCTTTTAAACATACATACACTCTGAACACTATTAAAAGAAGTTTAACAAGACCTACATAAATTGAAAGATATGTTCATGAATGAGAAGATTTGTAATTGTAAAGATGACAATACATTCCAAACTGATCTACAGATTCAATATAACCCTTCAAAATCCTAGCTGGCATTTTTTTCCAAAACTGACATGCTGATCTTAAAATCCATATGGAAATGCTAGGAATCCAGAATCTAGCCAAAACAGTTTTGAAGAGCAAAATTGGAGAACTCCAACTCTGCTATTTTAAAGCTTACTATAAAGCTACAGTAATAAAGACAGTATGGCACTGGAATAAGGATATATGATTAATGGAACTGAATTGAGAGTCCAGAAATAAATGTCCACATTTGTGATCAATTCACATTTGACAAAGGCATGAAGAAAACTTAGTGGAGGAATAGTCCTTTCAACAAGTAACACTAAAACAACTGCATATAAACATGTGAAAGCTTTCAGACCCCTTGCTTCCACCATGCCTGAAATTAACACAAAATGGATCACAGACCTAACTGTAAGAGCCAAAATTATGAAACTATAGAAAAATTTAAAAACAAGGCCGGGC